AGAGGGAGCGCGCACCTCCTCCCCACGGGTGGAGAGCGCGAGGCGCGAGCGCCGGCTTCCCCCGGGCAGCGCGTGCAGGTGAAAGCGGGGAGGCGGCGCGGGCGTTGCAAAGCGCCGTGGGCAAGGCTTTCGCTGCCGCAAGGTGAGCGAGGGAAGCGGGACGGGCCCGGCAGCAGAGCGAGGAAGAGAAGGCTCGGAGGAGGCAGGGAAGGAGCGGCATCGCCGGCAAGGCCAGAGACGCCTTCCCCGCGAAGCCACCGCCTTCCCCAGCCGGAGCTGCGCGGCGCGTCCTCCTGGCCGCCTCCCCTTCCCAGCGGCGCGTCTAGATCGGGAGCGCAGAGGAGGCGCGGGGAGCAGGCGGGACGCTCCTCCTGTCCCTCCTTTTCTAATGGGGCTGGCTGGGGACGAGGGGCGGCTGTTTATTCCCTTGGACGCGAGCCCCGGCCCCCGCATCCCTGCACCCACGCCAGCCCCGCCGGGGCGAAGCGGATCCCGGCGATCGCGGCCTTTGGGCTCTGGAGAAAGTCGCCTGCCTGGAGCTCTCTCGGACCTCCTTCCAGGTAAGCGCGCTGCGCTGCCACCGTGCCGCAACCCTGCGCCTGTTGGGTCAGCCTCGTTGAACTCAGTGGGCTTGCTTTCTCTGGGGAAGCAGGTCGCGGGCTGTGCCACTCCAGGAGGTGGCAAGATCCTCTGAGCACCGGTGAGACTGACTCCGTGGGAAATGCAGGCTCAGATTCCCTGCCCTAAGCCTAAAGCCCACTGGGACCCGTGGCCATCTCCAGACCTAACCTGCCTTGCAAGCTTGATAAGAATATGAACAAAAGGCGGAGGGAATCCATCTGCCAGGCAGCCTTTGGAAGTTCAGCCCAGCTGAAATCAGCTGTGGATGACCACTTGAAGAGGGCCAGGTTGCTTCTTGGCCATAGCTACAACAGTTTGACATTACTTTTCTCCAGTCCCCCCCACCCCAATTATCCAATTCAGTTCACAACAGCAGGGCTTCCCCCACTCAAGTACCCACCAAATCTCGCACCCACGTATCCTGCGTAGGGCAAAAATATAACAATCTTTGCCACGTATTTGTTTATATAATGCCATCATGGTTCACACCAAGGTGTGTTAATCGTTTGATTCTAATAGCAGGAACAAATAATCACAAAAAGGTTTCATTCATTTAATTTGCGTATACAGTATGATCTATTATAAAATTGCTGGGATTTTATATAAATTGCAAACCTATAAGTATACTTTGGAGAAGAGAGAAAAACAGAAAAAAGGGCATTGTCTTGTTCTTCTGGAGCTTAACATACAGGATTTTTGTTTTAGGGCCAAGAGCAGAGAAAAAGAAAATGAAAACCAGGGTAACCCCCTTTCTTTTAGCTAACACTCAAGGGAGACCCTCCCTTTTCCTCTACTTCAGAGACCTGGATCCACAGTGCAGAAGGCTGGATCAGTAACTTTTCCTGACATACAAGTAAAAGTTTTGGAACAAGCAGAGACAGGCAGGTCAAGTTGCCAGTCTGCCCCTCTGAAAAACTGACCAAACTGGTTATGTTGCTTTCAGGCTACCTGTAATAAACATCGTTTTGGTTTTTTTTCCCTTTCTGCAAGCTGACTTTTAAAAAGCAAAACAAAGCACAAACCTTCACATTAGATCAAGAGATAATTTTTCCAACAGGTTGTTGGCCCCAGAGGTACAAAAGACAGTTGTTCCTGCTGCTTTCTCAGATATGCTATTTTTTTTCCTGTGACTATTTGGAGCGACTGCAGGAAAATATGATTGACTCCTTTGCAGGTCAGAGAGAAGGAAATCCTGATGGGCTTGGGCGGGGACTGGGGGAGGGCTTACTGGTAGTGACTGTACCTGTCACTTTTCTCTCTTTCCCAAAACGATTCAAACATGTCCCAGAACAGGGCTGGAGAATCCCTGGAGCCCTTAATAATGCTGAACTAATGCTGATGGAGACCACCTTATGCGGTGGGGCACCCACAACGCATTACCGAATGTATGCCCATTTAGGGGATCACGTGTGCCCTTTCAGAAATGACTGGTCCAGCTTTTCCTCTGATCCATGAAGCTGCATCACTCCTTAATCATCATTTGCATGGGCTCTTGACTACCCTGGCCAGAAATTTGGAGGGGTGGGGGATGTTCCAATCTATCTATCTGGAAGTTGACAGGCAGTGTAAGGCTAGTTTAATGTGTTTCGCAAATGAAGAATCCAGTTTGCTTTTCTCCTAGCGAGTAAGAGTAACAAGCCTAGAAGAAACCCTGATTTATATAACTCTGGCTTGTTAAGAGAACTCAACAAGGATTCTAGCTTGAACCTCATGATGAGTAAACCATTGTAAGAGATGGTTTATTTAGCTGCTCCTGCTGGAAAGAAGAACTAAGTGAAGGTGAAGCTGCAATATGCTGGCTTATTTCTGTTATTCTGTAACCCCTGAATTAGAGCAATGTGTCTCTACGGAACCCCTTTTGATCCAGTGAAGTGTCAAAAGTGACATTTAGTTACCTGAATGCTTCTATTCTTTATATTAACCAATAAGGAGAAATTCAAGATAATAATATTGAATGTAGCTGTTTTCAAATAGACTTCCCCAATTGGTGATTTTGAGACGGGGTTGGGGGTCACAGCTCCCCAAATGTATTATTATTATTATTATTATTATTATTATTATTATTATTATTATTTAAATTCATATGCTGCCCACCTCCCACTGACTCTGGGTGGTTATGTCAGCCCTCCAAGGTAGGCCAAACTAGGAAACCAAAGTCAGGCAGGCTAATACTACTTTTACTATAAAGTTGTTGTAACAGAATCTTGCAAGTCTGAATGCGCTTCTCCCCTCCCTCCCTTTATCTTTGCGAGATAAAGTCTTGTCTGAGACATTTTCTCATGTTGCAGTTCTGTCCCAGACTCAGGTTCCTTTTATCTGACCACTGTCTTGGTTGTGGCTCTTCCTCCTGTTCCTCAGGGTTAATCCTTCTGCCCTTTACAGGTTTACAAATTGTTTTAAAAAACACAAAAATGACACAAAACAAAGGAACAAAGATGGCAGAGAAAACAAACCCAAACGGGAACAAAGCAAAGGAAGAAAAGGGAGATTGAATCACCCTCACCAAAGGCCTGGGCAAAGAGCCAGGTCTTCAGGCTTCTTCAGAACACCATCAGGGTGGGAACCATTCACATCTCGTGGTGAACCTCATTCCAGAGGGTAGGTGTTGCTACAGAGAAGGTGCACTTTTGGGGTCCCGATAGATGGCATTGGACCCAAAGCGCATCAACCCTGCCAGATTGAATTGGCCAGGCAGATACTGTGGGAAACAGGCAGTCTCTCAAGTAACCAGGCCCTATGTCATGAGGGCATTATAGGTAGCGATCAGCACCTTGAATCCTATCCAGAAGCAAACTGGCAACTAGTGCAGCTCATAAAGCAAAGGTGTTACATGGGCATACTGTGGCATGCCCATCACTGCCACCCCATCTGGACCAGCTGAAGCTTCCAGGGGATCTTCAAGGGAAGCCCCATGTACCTGGCTTCTGTGAGTTGCAGTCCCAACAAGTGTGGGGAGGTCCTCACGTTCTATGAGATGTTTAAGGATTAAGAAAGGTTGCTGGAAAATAGTAAGGTACAGGTAGTCCTTGCTTAATGAACTTTTCTTTAACAACAGTTTGAAGTTACGACAGCCTTGGAAAAAGTGCTTTACGACCTGTACTCGCACTTATGACTGTCCCCCCCGCAGTCACGTGATTGTGATTTGCAACCTTTTTTACAATGGTTGTTAAGTGAATCACATGGTTGTTAAGCAATTCCAGCAACAAATGTTCATTGGGGAAGCTGGATTCGCTTAACGACCATGTGATTTGCTTAACGACCATCATAAACATGGTTGTAAAATCAGGTCCGGTCACATGGTGACTCGCTTAATGACTGTCCCACTTAACAACCAATTTTCCGGTCCATATTGTGGTTGTTAATTGAGGACTACCTGTATGGCTAAGCCGATATGGCCCACACTGAATTTTGTTCTTGACTCCTCTCACATTGTCCTGTTTCCAGGACCAGTTGCATAGTCAGGAATAAAAATGCAGGCGACCACAAGCTCTGAGCTTCCAGGGGAGAAAATGGAGGAAGGAGGAAGAGACTCTCACGTTCTCCAGGAGGGCTGTGTTGGAAGAACTCCATCCTGTGTGGATCCCCTGCAGATTAAAGGAGAGCCAGATGAGGAGTCGGATTCAGAAGTTCCACGGCAAAATATCCAGAAGGGAATTCATTCAAAAGAAAGTCAACCTCAGCTGCCTGGATCTGAAGAGCAGCATGACTGTAATTCTTCTACCACATTGGCAGAGGCCGCTGCTCGTGCCAGCCCAGGGCTTAGCGGAATGGGTGTGTCTGAAATCCTGCCAGACTTTAGTAGGAAAGCTCGTGCCATCTCTGAAAGCGTGGATTCTTCTCTGAAAGCTGGAGAGGGAGTACTAGACCAGGACAAGATCAACGCGGAGCGACCGTGCCAGCGATTCAGGCACTTCCGCTATCAGGAGGCTGAGGGACCCCGAGAAGCCTTTGGACACCTCCAGGATCTTTGCCATCAGTGGCTGAAGCCTGAGAGTCACACGAAGGAGCGGATTTTAGAGCTGGTGATCCTGGAACAGTTCTTGGCGATTCTGCCGCCAGAGATGCAGAATTGGGTTAGGGAAGACAACCCAGAGACTTGTCCCCAAGCGGTGGCCCTCGCAGAAGATTTCTTGCTGTGGAAGGAGGAATCGGGCATGCAAGAAGAGCAGGTGAGTAAGTTTCCTTTTGATCGACCCAGATGATGTGGAGAAAGTGCTAGCCAATGAAGCGACATTGTAGGGTTGGTAGCTCAGATGTGGTGGGAGTCCATTGATGTGCATGTGCTCTGGAACAGTTGCAGCCCATTGATGTACATGTGCTCTAGAAAAGTCACAGCCCATTGATACGCGCGTGCTCTAGAAAAGTCGTGGCCCATCGATGTGTGCGTGCTCTAGAAAAGCCACGGCCCATTGACGCGCGCGTGCTCTAGAAAAGTCGCCGCCCATCGATGCACGCGTGCTCTAGAAAAGTCGCACCCCCTTGATGTGCGCGTGCTCTAGAAATGTTGCCGCCCGTTAGCGCTCCCCTGTGCTCTAGAAAAGGCGCGGCCCGTCGCCATGCATGTGCTCTAGAAAAGTTGCGGCCTGTTGGGGTGTGCTCTAGAAAAGTTGTGGCTCGGTGTGCGTCTGCTCTAGAAAAGCTGCGGCTTTAAAAAGAAGATCTAGACATCTTTTCCAGATGTTTTAGCACTCCACTAAACTGAAGGACATATCGGAGGAGGACAGGATGAAACGCAGCAGCCACCACCCGCTTATCCCAGTATGTAGACTCTGAGGTCGTGTGATGCCCCGCTGTCTGTATGAAAAGGCTGCGACGCCATTAAAACGAAATATATTCATTCGTTAGAAGTTACGCCCACTTAGAAGAAACGTTAAGTTACTTTTACCCAATTTGTGGATCGCGTTTACAGTTTTCCTTCAAACGAAGCTTCTTGATGAAAATGCGCACAGGCACACACACGCGGAGTCCGGATCCTCACAAACAGGGTTCTTCAACGTGGAAAAAATGTGGATGAAACGTTGAGGGCCCTGGGAAAATCTCGTTCAGGGTTCCTCAACCTCGGCAACTTTAAGACGGGTAGACTTCAACTCCCAGAATTCCCCAGCCAGCCATG